AGGACAGGGTCTGGTTTAAACCAGGCTATGCAATTCACTATCACAATGAAAACATTTCAGAATGTTATAAAACCTTTTTTTATTGTTTTGTTTTATAGCAAGATTAAAMATTTTCACAAAGTTAAAGGACACAAATACAGTGTGTTTTTTTTCTAATAGATCCTAAAGTTTTGGGCTCTGTCTTTGCTCAGAGCTTTGTGTTTTAAAAAAGGTATTTTAAAGAGTATTTCTCTTTTTTTTCTTTTCCCCCAGCCTGAAGATGTCAAATGATCTGAACCTTAGCACATTGAGGTGTTGTTTGCCATCGCTGGATTCCACTCATGTACAGGAAGCTCAGGAACATATCAAAAACAAACAAGTTCTTGACTTTAACAGACTCTAAAGCTTGAAGGCTCCTGATCCATCCATCAACTTGCTTCTTTATCTTGAACCTCTTGTTTTTTTTTCCTTCTTCACCTGGGACCAAATTAAAGGCAGAGAACATATCCTGTGGGTCAATGTCGCCCTCCGCATGAAATCATTCAGCGTTGGGATTTGTGAAATATCCTTCAGCAAAGACGTGATGAAAAGCCCAATTTGGCCCTAGTCAAATAATTCAACACTTTTATGAGTGTCCTTGTCATGCAGTGAAATGATGATTAGGTGGAAACTGGAGGACGGGAGTTGGTCACGCTTGAGTGCATCTGTGTGAGAAAAACAAAGACTTGGCAGCTGCATGGCCACATTCCCATCACGCAGAAGGAAACAAAATAGTAAAAGGAAAGAAACTGTTCTGTATATTTGTCATGATATGGAAATAGAAAAGATTTGTCTTTAAACTAAATGCCTGTAAAACTTTTTGCACTTGTAAAAGCAATCAGCTTTTGCACAATTGTCCTGATGCAATTCAGTAATATAGGAAGAAAAATCTAAAGTTGATTCAGGTCCTCTGGACAGGTTCTTTGTYAAAACATTTTGTCTCATCTCCAAAAGACCTCTTCAGTCWGAGGAGTTGCAGGTTAGCTTAGTCTTAGAAACCCTTCCCTTAGTGGAATAACAAATGCTAACAATTTGTTGTTCACACACAAAACATGACCATTGGCCTAACAACCGATCAGCAGTGCCCTGATGGCCACATAAGCCCCTTCTCTATGAGCACGGTTCTACCCTATTTGGTTTGGATCTGTTCTATTCTGCTCAGGTATGTGTGTGTGTCTCACTCTGTGTGTGTGATTATGGGCAGATTGTCTGCAGTGGCTTTATCCAGTGGTGGGCAGCACTAACCCAAAAATTAGCTCCGCGATTTCTAAAGCGCTTATGGAATTATTTAGGCCCACATCTTCAAAAACACTTATGCCATAGAGAAAATAACGGAAGCTAATTTTAAAGTGCAAGTCAATTTGACACTTACTAGTTGGCAAAAATTCATGTACAATATATGTACAACACTGCTGACTAGCGGTGTAGGAACCCTTGTACAGCTTAATCCTACAAGCACCGATTGCTGGGGATGTGATTTCCTGAAACAGAACCTTGGCTCCTGGTGTAAAAAAAGTTGTTGAGGATTGCTAGTTCGGCTGATTCTTTAAAAAGTTGTTGAGGATTGCTAGTTCGGCTGATTCTTTAAAAAGTTGTTGAGGATTGCTAGTTCGGCTGATTCTTTAAAAATTTATTGAGGATTGCTAGTTCGGCTGCTTCTTTGTCTTTTTCTTTTGTTTGTTGTAGATTTGTCTCATTAAAGA